TGGAAAATAATAAATATAGTGCAAGAGAGGGAGCCCTCTTAATATATGTGATTGTTCCATTATGATTAAGAGTAAAGCCAAGTCTATAAATTTCCTTAAATAGCAGATACGTTTGTTATAATCTACTCTGGGTATTTGTAACTGTATCATATTCAATATTTAAGGTGTAAATTTGATTAATATATAGCAGTACCGTACATCAGAGAATTAACATAGCCATCGCTTCACACAGTGATCATTTGTGTGTGGGGGGGACACCTAGGACTGGATGTGCCCAGCACAGCACAGTATTCTTTCTACAGTTTCCATGCAGTGCATTAGCTCTGCAGAGTGTGTTCATCTTGGAAAACTGAAACGTTTGTACTCCTGATAACATTTCTCTTATTCACAAGCCACTAGTGAACGACCATCTACCTACAGAGTAAGAAATGTTTTGTGTGGAATACTCAGAAGGAAAGGAGAGATCCGGGTTTCTTTTCATCAAATTCATCACTTTCTAGGTGGTGATTTGGTTCTTTACCAAATGGGAAGGGTTTTTTGTTTGCTTGTCTGTGCTGTTTATTTTGCTGTTAGCAGCATTAAACACATAGAATTTGTATATATTCATTTTTTTAATCTATTGCAAATATTACTATATATTGTAAATACAAAATATATATAATTAATATATAATATAAATGTCCCTCCCTTTGCCATTGACAGCACATCATAATAGCCCATCTCTTCTGGTCATGTGACTCTGTTGGTATTTGGTGACTCCTTTCCTTTCTTGTACCATAAGGAGTGCTGAGCCCATCTTCCATACTTCCTGCCTTAATGTGAATTCAGGTATTTCTTCAAGAAAAAATAAGTAATTTTGACTATAGATATTTATTAATATTAAATATTTTAAATGATATACTCATGTATTTTACTATATAGTCAAGATTATGTAATTACAACAGGACTATATATCATTACATAATACACATGACCTAGTATATATTTATTATACTAATTTATGAAGTTTAAATATATATTTATTTATGAAACATATAGAAGTATATTTTTATACATTTATATTTATGCCCAAAATTCAGTGGAAATAATTCATCCTTGCTTGGTTAAGCCATAATTTGGGATGAAATTTAGTTCATTTCCTATTCTTTTTTAGGTTTGGCTTTAGGCCTATGAATTATACTTTATAATATCGTGGATATTATAAGTTTTTGACAAAATATGTATATATTTGTAAACCAAAAGAACAAACCTTTTTGCAATGAGAACATTTCAGCTTCATCTAGTCGCCTCTGCACTGTGTTCTTCAAAGGGTGTGGAATTTGTACGCAGGCTGAGAAAGCTTTGTCACGCAACAATTAGGATATACAGAATTAAAGTTTATTTCTCTGAGAAAGAAAGAATGAGACAGAGAGAGAAAGAAACAGAGAAAGCATGGCACTGAATAAAAGGTAGAGGGTAGTACTGGGCAGCTGAGGAAAGTTGCTTGAAGCTTTAAAGGGCAGAGTTGGTTTTTTCCCCTCTGCTTCAGTGGACTGATAACAGAAGCGGCAGGGAAACGTGTTCTTTCGTTTTGTTTTTTTTTGTTTTTTTTTTTCCTCTGTGAAGCTGACTTTATCTGAGTCCTTGGAATCTGTTTTTTTGGCAGGAACTGAGGCAGGGAGTTGGTACACAGAGCTTACATTCCTACTGTCCATGTAGGGTCCTTTAAGGCTGAGAAAACAAAAATCTCAGAGATAACAAGTTAGGCCACAGGCGTTTTAATTAAAGAAACAACAGCCTAGGTGTGGTGGCTCACACCTGTAATCCTAGCACTTTGGGAGGCTGAGGAGGGAAGATTATTTGAGCTCAGGAGTTTGAGACCAGCCTGAGCAAGAGTAAGACTCCATCTCTTCAAAAAACAGAAAAATTAGCCAGTCATGGTGGCATGCACCGTAGTCCCAGCTACTTGGGAGGCTAAGAAAGAGGATCACTTGAGCCCAGGATTTTGAGGCTGCTGTGAACTGTAATGACGCCACAGCATTCTAGCCAGGGTGATGGAGCAAAAATCTGTCTGAAAACAACAACACAACAACAAAGGTCAGTGTACTGTGAGTTCTTTCTTCAAAGGGGTAATTATGTACTGTGAGTTATTTCTCTTACTTTCTGTGTGATAGTTTAATTTTTCTCTGTTAGCTAGGTTGACAGTAAGGTCTCTTTTCAGTTCTCTCCACCCACAAGTCCCATTTAAAAGGTCTAATTATTCCTTCATTTTTTTAATATAAAAATAAAAAACACAAAGCTTACCATATAACTATTATATCTGGTTCTTAGTAAAGTAAAGCAATTACACATGATATTCTGAGTCTTTCATTTTGTCACCTACCATAATTGAATGTCCCGCAGGCTGAGCGGTCTAGAGAACGTCTCACCACGTCCCCAGCCGCCCAGTGCTCCACTGTGGGACACACAGGGATCTTCAGTCTCTCTAAGATTGACGTTCAGTGGGTCCAGACATTGTGGTGTGACATATGATAATTTTGCAGAAATACCTTTGTACTTATAAAAGACATGTTCTTATGTTTGCATTATTGCCCTGGAATAATGGGTTGTGTAAGAAAAGGGATTTTCTGGATGCAATGGGATTAACCTAATTCTCTTTTTCAGTCTCTAGATTCCTCTCATTGAAATAAAATCACACTCCAACATCTCTTCTCAATGGACAGATTGGTTTCTGTTAACTTAATTCGGGGCATTACCTTTCTCATTCAGACTAGTGCTGGAATCCTTGGAAATTCTTCACTCTTTTGCTTTTACAACTTTTCTTTTATCACTGCGCAGAGACTGAATCCCAGAGACTTGATTCTCAACCAGCTGGTCTTAGCTAACAACTTAGTTCTTTGCTCTGAAGGGATCCCCCAGACACTTGCAGCTTTTGGGAGGGAAGTTTTCCTGGATGAGGCTGGATGTAAACTTGTCTTCTATTTACGCAGAGTGGCCAGAGGGGTTTCCCTCAGCACCACCTGCCTCCTCAGTGGCTTTCAGGCCATTAAGCTTCGCCCCAGTATCTCTAGGTGGATGGACCTTCATATTAGATCCCCAAAGTGCATTGTTCTCTGCTGTTTCTTTTGCTGGGTCTTGCACCTTTTGGTAAATACCTGTATTGTAAGGTGTAAAACTGGCCCAATGAACAACAAAAATAAGAGTATGGGCAAAATATATCTGTACTGTTCCTCACCCATTCCAGGGAGACTGGTCTTCTCAGTAACTGCAGTCATTTTCTCCTTCACGGATGGTTTGTGTTTGGCCCTCATGGTCTGGACCAGCAGCTCCATGGTCCTCGTCCTGCACAGGCACAAGCAGAGAGTCCAACACATCCACAGCAGCCGCCTCTCCCCCAGAACTTCCCATGAAACCAGAGCCACACACACTATCCTCATCCTGGTGAGCATGTTTGTCTCCTTTCATACTCTAGCTGCTATTTTGTCATTTTCGCTAACCCAGCTGCAGAACCCAAGCCAGTGGCTGAGGAGCATCTCTGTGCTGGTGGCGTCAGGCTTCCCGACACTCAGCCCCTTTGTGTTCATTGTCAGTGATGCCCGAGTCTCACAGTCCTGCTTTGCCTGCTGCACAAGGAAGACAAATACTCTAGGAATGGTCTGTGGAAAATAACTGTCCTCCACAACACTGAGTCATTTATTTAGTTACTTCTCCCCCAGTATTTGTAAACATATATATTATGCCAGTTAATATGCAAGGATTTGGGGATGTACTACTGAACAAAAATGATAATAACCATGGCTTCATATGACTTATTAGACTACAGAAAAAGGAACATGTTGTAAATTATTACCCAAATGTGTGGTGGTTCCTAAAAAAAGTAAACAAAGAATTACCATATGATCCAGCAATTTCACGTCTGCTTATATATCCAAGAGAAATCAAAGCAGAGGCTTCAACAGATATTCACACACCTACACACATAGCAGCATTACTCACAATAGCCAAAAAGTATCAGCAGCCCACCCGTCCACTGATGGATGAGTGGATGTGCCAATGGTGGCACAGACACATGGTGAAGTAGTACGGAATCTTAAAATGGGGTGAAGTTGTGACGAACACATGCCACACGTGGGTAAATCTGGAAGACGTTATGCTAGGTGAAATACGGCAGTCACAGAAGGACACACATTATGTGACTCTAGTTATTCGAGGTACCAAGAATAGTCAGTCCCATGGAGATAAAGGAGAGAACATTTGTTACCAGGGGCTGGCAGGAGGAAACAAGAGGAGAAGGTCTTTAATGGGTAAGAGTTTCAGTGGGAAGATGGA